CGTTTCGGAGGAGTACGGTAACAAACATTGTGACATGGAAATTTTATATATAAGATTTTATAGGTCATAATATGTAATGTGACCTATTAAATATAACTTTTAGTTATTTTCGAGTGGATTCATGAATATGTTAAGTACTAAATTTTATGTGGTGTAATATTGTAATGCAACAGCCACGTTTCTGGCTTTTGGGAATTATGGAGTGCAATTATGAAATGAAATTAGTATTAAATTTTAATAAATGACAATGTCAAAAATATTTTCAAATATAAATTATCTTTGTGGAGAAACAGTGACTATGTGGTCGTATATAATAAAGTTAATAAAAGTCTAGCAATATTTTACGTTTTAATATCTGTATTCAGCGATACGATGGGGATACGACGGGGATCAGACCATAGTCCACCAAGTTGGCCAAGTGCGGGTTGGCTAACTGCACATGTCTTTCGATAACTTGCTAGGTTCTCTCAGACATGCAGGTTTCCTCACGATGTTTTCTTTCGCCGTAAGACAACTGGTAATCACGTTGAAAATGATTCGCACATGAAAATAACAGAGGTGCGAGACCCGAATTTAAGCCCGCTTCACTCGGTTTCCCAAGCGAACGCGTTACCACTGGGCTACCACTACCATAATACCTAATACCTTAAAAATAATGTTTAAAAAATATTATTTAGTATCTAATTATCTTTAATTATATGTTAGATATCCGAAAGCTATTTTACAAAACGATTAGGTACTATCTAAATTCCCCATATAGAATTCTTGTAGGTGGGTCGCTTCATTGTAACAAGTTACCGACTTTTTCCTCTATGAAAATTCTCCATAGCTATCTTACTAATATCTTACCAATATTAAAGGAAGAGAAGAAAAGTTTAGAAAGTTAAGATGTTTGAATGTTTGGATGGATGTTTGTTACTCAATCACGTCAGAACCGCTGAACGGATCTGGATGAAATTTGGCACAAAAATATTATTACCTATACTGTGGAATAGCACATATGTTGCCGACATAAAGTCGGAAAAATGTACGGTTCCAGTGGGATAGGTTTATATTTATTTTATTGCTTATACAGGGCACAGGTTTATAACACGTTGAATCGGTGATTATCCAAGCTTTATTTTTAACTTCTAGTAATGTACTGCAATCTTAAGATGTATTAATAAGGTAAGAAGGAAGGTTTGGGTAATAAGGTTTGAAATAAAATAAAAACTGTATACCGAAATCAATTAATTTTAATGTTAAGTATACCTATAGAACCATTACTATTAAATAAAAACCAAAAAAAGGCCATTTTTGCTGTAAGCAAAAACAAAATCTAAAGGCCTTTTTATACTATGGTCGGGTAATAAGGCCTAAGTCTTTTTACATACATAAATAATCAAAATATGCATCTTATATTTAGTAATTGCGATCAATAATCATAGATATGCATTAATGACGCATGAAGTCCTAAATCAGAAACAGATTCCTTTGATTTTTCGATTTTTCGCAGATTTATTTAGATTTTTAGTTCCCGACGTTTCGAAAGCTTTATCATGCACAATAAAAGCAATCATGGTCACGGGAGATACTAAGGTTTTAAAAAAGTCTAAAATTCATTTAGTTATATATCATATAGTTGTTAAAAACAATGTCTATTAATCAGTACCATTTTTTAATTTAAAATATTTTATTTGCCCTAATGGCTACATCTGTCCTTCAATTTTAGTATGATATTTTCCCAGTCCTCATTATAGTAGATACTTCATACTAGTTGGTTTATAAAGTGAAAACACCTAACAGACATACATTTTCCCTTTTAGTAATATAAATGTTCAGCAAAGTAGTGATTTGCAATATATTTTGTATTCATAAGAATAATACTATTTCATTTATTGATGTTGTTGCTATTTTATTCGCAAAGGTTTTTTATATAGACTACATTTTGAAACCAATGTCCAATTACTATATCGCTAAATGTTTCATTTATGAACAATACTTGTTACATTGTAACATTTTTTAATTATCAGCAAAATATTTTCACACTTGATTACATTTTGTATGAATTTACATTGTATATAATTATGTACTCAATCTGTTTTATATCATTGCTAAGTTTTATATATTAGCAGAAACTGTGGCTTCGCTCGAGCTAAAACTGCAAAGAAATCTCTAAAAAGGTAGTTTCATAGCAACATTCATCCCTAATTTTACCCCTTTATAGGCGGAATTTTGAAAAATGCTAAAACACGTATATATTTAATTTTATTAATGAGCATTAATTCCAAGTTTCAAGTAATTCAAATAACGTGTTTTCCTGTGGGAATTAGATAATAATCTCCCGCGATATAAAGTAGCCTATGTCACTCTCTAGCCCTCCAACTATCCACACAAAAAATCACGCCAATCCTTCACTCCGTTTCGACGTGAAAGAAGGACAAACAAACAAATAAACAAACAAACACACTTTCACATTTATAATATTAGTAGTACATACGGACTACTATATTATTTACTTCAATTATATTTTAACTAGCTTTTCACAATGTAGCTTATTTCTTTATAATTATTCCGCTCATATAGATCGTATTGTGATGTTAGACAACCAATTTTATGCAATAAAAAATATCTAACTTTTCAAATTTGACTTTTATCACGTTAAAACAAACAGATAAATAAATAAAACAAAAACCATTTTGTTCAGCTTTGTATCAAATCATATTAAATCACAGTAACAATTACCCACACTCAGTAAAAATAAAAAAAAAAACATCTCTAACATATAAAATAATTATATTGGGAGATAAGTGGAGGAACTAAATTTTTAAATATAAACAGCAAATAATATCTAGTCGTTTAATCTCGTCCCATCATCTAGTTCCATGGTAAGCTACGAGGCTTGTGTTATGGATACCAGATAGTTGATACACTACATACATGTAACTTTAAATACGTACATATTAACACCCATGGCTGGAGTACAAACATTCGTGCTTGCATCACACAAATGAATGCCCCCAGCGGGACTCGAACCCGCGACCGCTCGCACAACAAGGAGGGTCACTACAAACTGAGCCAAACGTGTCGTTTGCCAATATTGATCTCGCAGTAAACAAATCTCCGCTTCATTTGACAATCGGATCCAATCACACTGCGTAATCATCCACTTTAGCATCTGATTTGTGATTTCTCTACTTTATAATTAATAGAGTGCGAATCAGTGGGCAGATGAATTATTTGGCGCGGCCCGTCCTTGACCCGGCGCGATCCCTCAGGCGTCGCGGTGATGAGATACAGCTTCATTGTTATTAATGTTGTTTAATATTTTAAACATGTTTTTAAGTACTTTTGGCACATTTTTTTACGCGTTCGAGGAAAAAAATTACAACGTCAAAACAAAATTTATTATGTAATCGAAATTTATTTTAAAATATATCCGAAAAAATAACATAAAAAATTTAAGTAATAGTAGAAAAAATGTTTTAAAAGACGAAAAAAATCGAAAGTGCATATTATAAGACTTCCGCGATACCATCTAGACAAAGAGAGACAATAGCATTCCCAAGGAGGGTTGACGTCAGGCAGGCGGCCGGTCGTAAAACTTTTGCCAAATCCTATCAGCAGTACAGAAGATATACTGCGCCGACCCCATGTGATTGGGAAATGGGCAGTGGAGAAGAAGAAGAAGTTTAGGAAATTGAGTAAAGCGGGTTCAAACCCCGGGTCTCGCATTTTTGACAATTTCATATAAGAATCATTTCCAATATGATTACCACTTATATGACGGTGAAAGAAAACATAGTGAGGAAATCTGCATCTTTGAGAGAACCTAGCAACCCGCACTTGGCCAGCGTGGTGGACTATAGCTAGATCCCCCTTGCAGTAAAGGGGAGACCCGTACCCAATAATTTTTTTATCTACTTTGTGCACTTTTAAAAAAAATTAGGTTTTATGTCACAAAAGGTCGGATTGGGACTCTATTACTGTATTATAATACTTAGTTAATATTATAATACTTCGTTGTGTACTACAAGCTTATCATTAGCTTCGTCTATTTGTATATTATACACATTTTCTTTATAAAAATTATCCATCTTACATATGATAAAATTCTGAGTCGAATCTGTACATTAAATATTTTTTTGGAAAATCTTATTGAAATAGTCATTATTTTCTATACAAACGCCGAATATATAGTTTTTAGAATGTTTGTCTTTTTGTCTGTCTCTCTGTGACCGCATCACGAGAAAACTACTGGACAGATTTTGAAGAAATTTGGTATGATGATAGCTGTTTATCCGGGTCAACATATAGGATACTTTTTACTGCGGGAAAATATCTCATATCTCTGAGAAATCTATACTAAATATTAAAAGGTAAATAGAGTCTAGTCAAATAATAAAGTAAAACAAACAGTGGAAAAGTAGGGCCTTGCATGACCTTTTTGATTTAATCAGATTTGCTTTTACTTGTTTTTATAATACTTGTAAGTAAGTACTAAAAGCTTTATAGTCTTAAAACGAATGCTTTAGAAAATATATTCGTGACAACAACAAATTAATTGGAGTTAAGCTTTACAATTCAGTGTAGGAAACTGTAACAGATTTGCTCTATATATTTTTCAGGTCTATTTATTGACGACATATTTGGCTCAGTTTGTAGTGACCCTACTTGCTGTACCAGCGGTCGTGGGTTTGAGTTCCGATGGAGGCATTCATTTGTGTGATGAACACGAATGTTATGTACTCCAGTCCTGGGTGCTTATACTTAGTGCTTGGTATTTATAATACGTATATATTTGAAAAGTTATATTTGTGTCGTGTATCAACTACCTTGTATCCACAACACAGGTCTCGTAGCTTACCATGGAACTATACTGTATTAATGTCCCAACACATTTATATTTATGTATATTCATGGTTTCCACTGTGGTTTTGTCAAATCAAAATAATCAATTAGACAATAGTAAAAGAAACATTGAAAAATAACAACATTTAAAAAATAATATTTTTTTACAGATATCCTTAAAGTATATGGTGATCGATTAACAGAATGGGAAAGAACAGAGGTACGAAAATACCCAGAAGTGTGGTTTCTGGGCTTAGAAGCGAATAAGGTGCAAGCGCGGTCCAACCTGCCAAACAACTGCGGTTTCGATGATGAAAATGGCAGCTATAACAAAGTTAGTATTTAGGGATAAATATTTATTATATTTAATATTTATACGTATTTTTAGGGTTTCGTGTATTTTTTGTCAATTTGTATGAGTGATATACTCGCAGCATATTCTTTTCAAATCAACTCGATAACGAAAGTTCAGATCCCGTATCTACATAAATATAGAAATATGTGAACTAAAGAGGTGCATTTAACTAAAAAAATGAATTAAGAGTAAAAAAAAACGGTAGGTACTTGCGTATTAACAGATTTTATTTCCCACTAGTAGTTAACCCTCGCTTCGCTAGGGTTCGTGGTAATACGTAAGTACCAAAAAAACTACTAAAATAATAAAAAAAAACCTTTGTTAATAATACAATACACTTTCAAAGTCCGATGGGACGATACTTTGATACGACCTGTGAGACATCAGGCGCAGGGTCCGACGCGGGGCTCGAACCTAGGACTTCTGGATGTGGCATACATGCTAGACACTACACCACCGAGGAAGTCTTATATAGATATTAATAGTTAAATAGCGATGATATATAATATTAATTTTATCAGTGTCGCAAAATTCTATTTTCGAGCTTTGTTCTTCACGTTTTGAGTGACATTCTTTAATATAGGTAATATTTTCGTCTCCAATACCCTCGTTCCTTCGAGAAATAAAAACACCTAAAGCCTTTTTATCAGTCTTTACTTCGCTGACATTGACATGATGGTTAAAATAATATATTTAAATCTCTTCCAGCTAAATATTGAAAATGTATGTAACACTAGCACGATTTTCGTTTTAGTTTTTAGTAAAGTAAAAGAAAACACACAAGTTGAAAGCTAAACGTAAATTCATGAATATATTTTAAATTGTAGGTTTCTGGGAAACTCGACGTTTATGATGTAAATTATGACCTGTTTTTTCAGTGAAATTTTTTTTATGCCAAATTAAATATGGCACCTAGTTTTAATAACCACGTATTCAACTAATTAAGTACAATTTAAAGATAAAAATAGGGTGTAAATTTGTCATCATATAATATTATGTAATGTTGGATTTTTTTTATCTATACAGATAAATAAAATTGAAGTGTCTGTTTGTAATGTCAAAATAACAGCGTTTTACTAAATGCATATGAAATTATATACGGTACTTATAAGAAAAACACATTTTTTTTTAATTTTTGTCTGTCTGTCTGACTGTGAGACTAATTTTAACAGAACTTTCATTGGAAGATAGCTGATGTTATAGGGAGTAAAATAGGCTACTTTTATTTTAGAAAAAGAATTAGGGTTCCGCTAATAAAATTATATAAAACAAAGTCGGGTTAGTTACACCATTTGTAACTCACGAACGGCTGATCGATTTTGATGATCTTCGATTTGTTGGATTTGTCTCTGCCCCGAATAGCAGAATAAGTATTAAAACATCGGAAAAATTTACAAAAAATAAAATTTAATTTTACATAGCTAACGCTGGCTAATATGTACATATTTATACATATTTAAAACGTACCTAGGGACGAACACGAGCGAAGCGAGTGTGAGCCGCTAGTATATTATATTATATACAGGTAGCGTCACTTTTTGGCAATTTTTATTACAGATAGTAGCTTGTGGGTTATAGTCAAACTATCTACAAAATTTCATCTAAATTGTAATTTCAAGTTTTATATTTAAGAGTAACAAACAAGCACACACATTCAAAATTTCATATTTGTATTAGTAGTGTTATCAGCTTTTTACTCTACGTTTTCCTGGATAGTCGATATAAATATCTGTACCTAATCTATTCCTGATTTTACCTGTTATTATACCTGATTTAGGATCTATTTTATTTAACCTATGCTTCATTGTAACTTTTTTTTAAAAAAATAAATTTTTATGTATAATTGTTTTTATTTAAATTATTTTTTACTCTGTACATACTTACTTCCCACTGGAACGAAATTTCTATCCATTTCCAGACTGAGACGCTTATTTTCGCTGTATATGAGATATCTTGAATTTTTGACTCGAGTATTATCTATGCTCATACCAATTTGAATTTTTATAAGCTGTTAGTGAAACAAAATAAATCACTGTGTGTTTTGGCTTTACTGGGTGAAAGATGAATATTACACCGTATCAATTTATTATAGTTTACGTTCACCATTTAAGATAATTTTAAAAAATATATCGAAAAAAAAAAACGTATCCATAAACCAATCTTTACGCTATCTCTTTCTCTTCTTTATTTCACCATGATAGATGAAAAAATAAACTTTCGTTTTCATAATAATTAGCATGCTTTTATGAATTTTTTTCTAGCAAATCCACGACCACATAGCCTACCGATATGAGATCCTCGAAGTGATAGGCAAAGGTTCCTTCGGCCAAGTTATCAGGGCCTTGGACCATCGCTCCGGTAACCAAGTGGCCATCAAGATCATCAGAAACAAAAAGCGGTTCCACCACCAGGCCCTGGTAGAAGTCCGGGTTCTAGACCACCTCAGGCTAAAAGATAAGGACCAATCGCACAATGTCATACACATGCTGGATTACTTTTATTTTAGGAATCATTTGTGCATAAGCTTTGAACTTATGAGGTGAGTTGGCTTATATTTCTTTTTAAGTTTTAATAGATTCGCTGACTTTTCTTAACATTTTTCTCAAAAAAAAAATCACTATTGGACGATATTAAAAAAGAAAACAAATGAAAAACACTGTATAGAATCCATTATGATTATATTTTTCTTTTCTACACAATAAAGTTAAGTGAATATATAAATATTAATTATGTATCACTTAATTATGTTTAGAATTCTACAATTTATGTACATACAAAGACTAATAGATAATTTTATATATAATCTATACTAATATTATAAAGAGGTAAAGTTTGTGAGTTTGTGACGTTGTAGGGGGTAATCTCTGGATCTACTGAACCGATTTGGATGACATTTGGCAAGAAGATAGTTTGAGACCCTGGGAAGGATATAGAATAGGTACTTTTTATCAAAAATCTTAAGGTGGTGAACATGGGGATGAAAGTTTGTATGGGGACTGAACCTAGAGAGTAGTTAATTTATAAATGTTTGTTATAAATTATATTTGCTTAACAAACATCCATCAATTCTGATTTTGAAATTCTGATTAGCAAGTTCGAGAATTCGGCGAAAGCTAAAACACTGTAATAACTAAAATGATAATTTGCGGTGGGAAGCTAGCGCAAAGTTTCCGCAGCGATGGTAATGAATGGCATTGTTCGTGTATCACGCCGTACCAGGAAACAGCTAAAAGCTTGCCTTCATTTACTTAGTACATTTACCTATTAGTTTAAATGTCGCTAATGAAAAGGTGTTATATTTAAAAAGATAAAATTTTACATCCTTAGACTTACGCGAATATTTGACATTTTAGAAGAAACTATATATTTTTCGCTTTTGTCGCGGTTTTATTTTTATTTTGGTTTCCGACATTTCGAATGCTTTACAGCAAACATGGTCACGGGAGAGACCTCCCGTATCTATTCATCCGTCTGTCTTTCCCATGATCATGATTTCTATAAAGCATTCGAAACGTCGGGAACTAAAAATCAAAATATGTGCGCAAAAAGATCCCAAAAGCAAGTTATATTTATAATTTGAAATAGCTTATTAAATAATATGATAAACTATAACATTTTAACTATAGATTAAATCGATATGTAATTAGGATGAATTGTTCCAGCATCAACTTATACGAGTTGATAAAGAAGAACAACTACCAAGGGTTCAGCCTGAGCCTCATCCGGCGGTTCGCGAGCTCGCTGCTGCGCTGCCTGCGGCTGCTCGAGTCCGAGAACATCATACACTGCGACTTGAAACCTGTAAGTTATTTCTACTCAAACTATACTTATTTGTTTTTACTTAATCTGAAAATAGTATATTCAATTCAATTTTCTTGTTAATGGCGTTCACCTTTTTTTTTAACTCTTTACAACGTTTTATGAAATGTCAATTTTTATATTAAGTACATTATACATATACTAGCGGACCCGACAGACGTTGTCCTGTCTACACGTCTTTAATTTGAAAATTTCAAACTTTTTTTAATAATTTTTTTGATGAAAATTATTATTCAAATTGTGAATTTAAACCATTCCCAGATCCCCTAGAACACACACAAAAAATTTCATCAAAATCGGTCCAGTCGTTTGAGAGAAGTTCAGTGACATACACACTCACAGAAGAATTATATATATAAAGATACATGTGTTTTGACTAAAATAAAATTTGGTGCCAAAGATATGCATTTCAACAGACAGAAGGACGGACAAAATTAAAAATTGATAACTGATAAAAACTGATTTTATTTCTGGTATACATTTCATACAAAATAGTATTTGGGGGAAATACTATTTCGTCAAAAACTAATCTTTTGTAGCGCTATTGACAGTATGGTTGATATATTATAAAACCTGGGAATCTACTTAGGGGGCTTTCTTATTGTTAGATAAGATGACAATCCACACTCCTTGAAAAATATTTTATTCAAAATTCTATTAAAATGACCTAAATTTTTATTATAGAATTATAATATTATGTCACTCTCATATATTTTCAAAAATTTGTATTCCTCAAAGGTTAATCACGTTTGGGACGTTAACTTCAATCAAGTCAATTAAATTATCTATATTAATAATATGTAAAACAATTCCAGGAGAACATCCTCCTGAAGGCGCGAGGCAGCTCGTCCATAAAGGTGATCGACTTCGGCAGCTCGTGCTACACGCACGCGCGCGTCTACACCTACATACAGTCGCGCTTCTACCGCAGCCCCGAGGTCATCCTCGGCCTGCAGTACGGCACCGCCATCGACATGTGGAGCATGGGTCAGTCGCTGTTCCTTTATCCTTATATCATACGAGCGACTCACCCTGCACCCTGGCTTCGCTCGGGTTCGTCCCTAGGTACGTTTTTACGGTTAGTATACAATAGATAGACTGATGATATGATGTTCTCCTGACCGATTCCGGCCACGGCGGCCAATCTCATTGAGACTAGCCAACTGCGCAGGAGATATTATAGTGCAGCGCGTGTACGCGCAGACACAACGTGCACTCTCTATTCCTGTCACTCTCATACTCCGGTGGGACGACACGAGACACTCGCGGTGAGAGTGTCGGCGCAGGACCGACGGCTTTACGTGCTCTGCCTCGGCACGGGGGTGAAACACCGCCAACTTCCCAACTCCGGGCTCTTACTGAGGCTTATTATACAGAAAGACTCAATATCTAAACTTGGCCCGACCCGGGACTGGAACCCAGGACCTCCGGGTGTGCAGTCGTACATGCTAGCCACTATACCACCGAGGCAGTATAATAAATAGACTATACGTTGTATGATGTAGAGCATATAGCTTTCCTCGATAAACAGGCTATCTAATACAAAAATAGTTTGTCAAATCGGGCAGACAGTTCCAGATATTACATTTCAAAACAAATTAATAAAACCAAGGTCTTAATTAATTACATATAATAAATGTGCTTATGTTATCTTAATCATTCAGATAACTCTCAAATACAAAGTGAAACTCCTTTTAATAATTTTATAATTATAACCTATTTATTGAAGAATGCCTCAATAATTGAGGAACCCTTAGAAGCGGGGAAGACAGAGCAACAGGCAAAAGCTAGTGAAATGTAATAATCTTAATTAATCAAAACCAACCTCTGTTGAATCTTCTTTATGCTAAATAAAATTAACAAAGTAAATTGTGTTCAACTGGCACGCCTAAATACTATACAAATTAAAACATCATAACCCTCCTTTTACTTCGTCGTGGTCGGGTAAAAATTAACCAAGACATAACTAAGCTAAATGATTCGCACTCGAAAATATCTGGAGTGCCAAACCCGGGGTTTGAACCCGCTGCAATAGATTTAAGAAAATATCTATATAAATAAAAATGAATGTTGGTAAGCGCATAATTTAAGAATGGCTGGACGAATTCGGCTAAATTTTTTTTCGTATGTTCCTTAAGGTCCACGGAAGGTTTTCGTAAAGAGAAAAAATGAAAAATCTTATATAAAAAATTTCCATGTCACAATGTTTGTTACCGTACTCCTCCGAAACCGCTTTACCGATTTTTACCAAATTTTATATGCGTATTCAGTAGGTCTGAGAATCGGCTACTATCTATTTTCCATACCCCTAAGTGATAAGGATAAGGGTGGTCCTCCCAGACCCCATCCCAGGGACGAACCCGAGCGGAGCGAGGGTGAGTCGCTAGTTAACATATATAATTTATATGGTTAACGCTGGCTAATAACTATTTATATCTATTTAAAATGTAACTAGCGACAAACCCGAGTAAAGCAAGGGTGAGCCGCTAGTTAATGCAATAAAAATTATTATATAATATTAATTTATTTTCCTTAAACGCTCATATTAAATAAAACATGAACGGATGTTATATGATTAAATAAATCATCGTTAATTACTGTATTTCCCTACAAATTAGCAACTCGTATAAGAAATAACCGTCGGTTTGTTTAAGTAACAAACATGTTACTTGATTAGCTTTGAGACACTAAAGTTAAAAAAAAGTTCTTTTAAGAATTAAGCAATTTTATTACCAAATGATATAAATAATAAAGACCATAATTGTTTGTAGTATTTCATCAGATATTACCAATTCTCGAGTGGTAGAGTGTTATGTAAGCGGCAAGTCAGTAGAAAGCTGAGAGAAAGGCGACGAGTCACACGTGCGATCTGCAAATATGGACATACCTCAGTCTGGCTTTTTTACGCAATAGACGGATTCACATCTAGTGCTATTATAATAATTACATTTAATCTATACATATATAAAATTGTCACTAAGCCGAATCTGTACTTTAGATATTTTTTGGAAAATCTTAATAAAATGGTCATTATTATCGATAGAATATATAATCTATAGTTTTTAGAATTTTTGTCTGTTTAGGAACGCATCACGAAAAAACCACTGGACAGATTTTGATAAAATTAGGTTATTGATAGCCAGTTATCTGGGTCAACATATAGAATACTTTTTACTGCGGGATAATCTAAGAATCTCTGAGAAATCTATACTAAACGGAAAAATATAACTAGGGACGAACCCGAGCGGAGGAAGGGTGAGACGCTAATATCTATATAAACTGGCCACTTCGTGTCTGGCCTTTCTTTCATATTTATCTTATTTTACATCACAACTATTAAAACGATACTCGTTTTATATATGAGCAAAGTGAAAGGGTAGCATATGCTGGATTTTTTTCGTTTTTTATGGTCAATGAAACAGAAATACATATGTACATAATCTCGGTCAAATCCTCTACCTAAAATTATTCTGTAATAGTTTGTATTCTGTAAAACTCGGTAGCTGAATCCGCGAACATTTTCGTTGTTGTCGAGTTACATAAAAGTTCTTATAAAATAGCATTACAGATCTTATAATTAGTTTAAGCATAACAAGAAATACATAGATAGAGATTAGATATGAATGTTTAAGATTTAATTTCATGCTATAATTGTGTCTTTAATAGAACATGTCTACATTCGCTAAGTAATCTTTTGCTCAATGCTTGTATTTTTACAAGCAAGCATTGCAATAGCAACTTATCCTCGCTTTGCTTGGGTGTGCCCCTTTTTTAATATTGGGAAATACATTTCGGCATTACACCTGTAATACATACAAGTGGATATGTGGGACTCACGGGCTAGAAAAGGCAGTATTACCCAATAAAACCTAACAGTACCTTCTCCGTCTTAATGGAGCATCGCAGGATCGCAGGCACGACCGGCAGGTCTGCTGTAGCCTGAAACAGACCACAACAATCATAGGGTTGCTTCCTATCAGACTCTACCACTCTGTTATCAGAGGAGTACCAGGAGCAACCCGGATTGCATGGCATGATTGATTATGACTAATTAAAGTTGTTATGATTTCTGACAGTAAACGCATTTTTATTGGAATAGAATTTGATGGAATAAAATTTTCAGAGTCGGATCAGTTGTTTGAGAGATCACCCTCTACGTACAAACTATTGCAAAAAAATATAGATACATCTAACACAAACAATAATTATAATTTATAAGGTTGAAGAAATATTTTCTTAGTCAAGTTTGTTTGCTTATTGTTTTATAAGTATTATAATTCCCTGTCCAGGCTGTATCCTGGCGGAGCTGCACACGGGCTACCCGCTGTTCCCGGGCGAGAACGAGGCGGAGCAGCTCGCCTGCATCATGGAGCTGCTGGGCGCGCCGCCGCCCGACCTGCTGCTGCACGCCACCAGGAAACGACTTTTCTTTGGTAACTTTGTTTATATTATTACAGTTAAAGAATATTTATTTACTCACTAGGAATACTAAAACAAACCTATCGCACGGGAACCGTACATTTTTCCGGGATGAAAAGTATCTATCTCTGTGCCAAATTTCATCCAGATCCGTTCAGCCGTTCTGGCGTGAAAGAGTAAGAAACATCCATATTCAAAAACTTTCACATTTAGGTATAATCTATACATATAATAAAATTGTAACTAAGCCGAATCTATACATTAAACATTTTTTTGGAAAATCTTTTTGAAATAAACATTATTATCGATACAGAGGCCGAAGATACAGTTTTTAGAATTTTTGTCTGTCTGTCTGTCTGTTACCGCATCACAGAAAAACCAGTGGAAAGATTTTGATGAAATTTGGTATGATGATAGCTGGTTATCCGGGTCAACCAACATATAGGATACTTTTTATCGCGGGAAAATATCTCATTTCTGAGGAAAAAATACAAAAACTGCAATGTAAGAATATACTAATATGTAAACCCTAAGAATTTGGTTTTTGGTCATCTGAACGCGGGCGGAGCCGCGGGCAATGCTAGTATATTATAATATTATAATAATACGGATTTAAGAACATAGTTCATTTGCAATGGGATTACAATTACAACTTAATAGTTACAATCATATGTCGTAGTGACCTAAAAACGTATAAGTTAATTAGTAAAAAAACACCTTCTAAATATTTTTTTAATTTGTTTAAATGTCTGAAAAGACCTTTACTATATATCATTTGTGACATTTGGCAAACGATTATACAGTTTTACCACGGTAATAATAATATATACATTACATTACCGTGGTTTTACTCCCTCAAATTCTATTGTTTTAATTCCATATTTAGTTCTAGCACAGATCATACAATACTATACTGTTCTAGTGACATTTGCGTTAACTAGCGACTTCCCCCGACACCGCTCATGTTATTCAATTCATTCTTCAATTCAAATCTTAATGAATATGTATCATTCTGTATTAGATGATGCGCTATATTATTGGAAAGTTTCATCAAAATCCCATCAGTAGTTTTTGCGTGAAAGAGTAATAAACATTTTGTTGCGCTTATAATATTAGATTTTTTTGTACTTTATACATCTCCTTCTAAGGGTCTAGTTATTCTATTTCATATTTAACTTTATTCAGCAGTTAGTACAAGAATTTGTAGTGTTTAAATAATTATTTGGGTTTTATTTCATTAACTCTGGTGGAAGTCTTAGAGAATCGTTATAAAATCCAAAAACATTCATAAAGCTTCAAATTAAACTATATTTTACTTCTTTTAGAGTTTGCTTTTTGAATGATTACGACGTTTCCAATTATAATTATTGCAGACGCACAGAAATTATAGTATCTAAGAATAAAAGAGAAATGGTACTTTAAATAAAAAAAAATAGTGTTGCTATGGTTTTCCAATTTAAAATTATACATATTATTTTTTATATATGTACATATTAATTAATATGTTAGTTACACAATCGTCAAATATCTATACATATAATAAAACTGTAGAGGTCGAATGTCTGTACATAGAAATAAAATTGCTAAAAACCGAGTCAGGGGTATTTAGAAGAGAAACAGAACAAACCCAGATTTTTTTGTTCTTCTGTCTGTTTGTCTCTTTATCTGTTTGTCTGTTTATACGGGCTAATCTCAGAAACTGTTGACCGATTTAAATAAAAATTTGCATGGTCGTATCTTATATCCCCGGTCAACAATTTAGATACTTTTCATCCCGGAAAATTAAAGAGTTCCCGTGGGATAGTTAAAAAACTATAGTAACCTATAAATCTTAGTACACAACAACTTATACACATAATTTAGTAAAATTTGGCATGCTGATATTGCCGGTCAAACAATAGGCTACTTTTTATCCCGGAAAAATATACGGTTCCCAAGGGATAGATTTGTTTTAGATATTCAAATATATATATATATGAATATAGTTTAAAAAGTGTTCATATTGTTAACCAATAACACCAATAACATGGCCCCGCAGACTCGAAGGGCTCGCCGCGCTCGGTGACCAACTCGAAGGGGCGCAAGCGGCGCGCCGGCGCGCGCGCGCTCGCCGCCGCCGTGCGCTGCGACGACCCCGCCTTCCTGCACTTCCTGCACCGCTGTCTCGAGTGAGTCTCTCTTTGAACATATAAATATTGAGACATTGACACACAACACCATCTAGTTCCCTGGTAAGCTACGAAGCTTTTGTTATGGATACCAGATACTTGATACACTACACATATATAACTTTAAATACATACATATTATAAATATAAACGCCCATGACTGGAGCACAAACATTCAATCTCATCGCACAAATGAATGTCCCCAGCGGGATTTGAACCCGCGACCACTGGCACAGCAAATAGGGTCACTACAAACTTTATGTCGTCAAGAAAGTTAATGTCGTCAATCTCTCTATTACTACTCTTACTCCTGTTCATATATCGATATATATATATATATATATATAAGATGTAAGTCTGTATGATAATCCAACATTAAATTTAACACACATGTACACACACACACACTCTTACTTTCATAAAAAATAGCACAGCCTGTTAATTCAAACAATTATTGTCTATTGATGGCGTCTAGACCGGGGATATTTGGGCAAGAGACCTCCTTTCCAAAATGAACTGATACCTCAGACCTCATAACCGAATTATGTACTTAAAAATCCTATATCTAGTTTTTTTCCTATTGATACAAAACTTATATTTCCTACTAAAATACCCAGCTGCAAACAAAAAGAAGTCGTCTATATCATGTAAATATTATCTATGTCTAAGTTTTAAAAATATACAATTTTAAGGATTACTCAACATGTCAGTATTATTTAGTCGCTTATTTATATATCGCTGACAGTTTATTTAAAATATATTATATGAGTTGCTTTAACCTTTAAAATTTTCACATTCATAATTCAGCGCGTTAAATATCTATGATACTTATTTAATGAAGCATTCAGATTTTAACAGTAAAATAACATAATTAGGCGACATGAGAACTTTTTTGTGACATATTTTGTAATCATTCTTGCTTATGTTTTAAATGTATGTATGTTTGTTTATTAGTTACGTTTTCACCCTCAATCGCTGAGCTTATTTTGATGAATTTTGGTATAGAGATAGATTAGGTCTTAGACAATGTCGCAAAAATAAAGCATGGAGGAGGGGAAATAGATAATGAAAATTTTTTTAAACTTGACATATGAAGCAACCACAGAATTGGTGAAGGATTTTTTTCCTATTACCGTTGTAGAGTTGTGAAATTGAAATGCACATGTTTTTTTTCGCTTGAAGTAAAAATTTATAAGTTATATATACCTACATATACGTATATCAATGGCGAAGGGTCCATACAAGACGTCTTACCTTAAAATTATTTTGCTATAATTTAACATACATTTAATTTTTTAAATGTATAAATGTTTTTGGATCTCTATATATATATATATATATATATATATATATATATATACATATATATATATATATATACATATATATATATATATATATATATATATATATATATAAATATATATATACTTCTTTAATTAGCTCAAATATATACAGCAATATTGCCATCTAATAGCTAGTATCAATGGTGGTCAGAGAAAATTAGAATATTGACTTTATTTCATTCACCGCCTTTTCTTCTTCGTTTAACTAAAGTGAACTGCGTAACGAATAAAACTTCATAATAAAACTCAATTAACTGCAAATAAATTACTCAAGAATCAAACAAAGATTAATCGTAGAGTTCACAAACTATCTTTCACAGCATATGTAATTACTCGTAGTTATGCAATCAAATAAGAACAAGACTTTCTCCCAAGTTCACACTTTTTTCTATCTCGAGGCTTGAATGGATCGAGCTATAAACCAGTCGCCTCAAGACATACGCAATAAAAGCAAAAAAGTAAAAGTAAATTTCCATTATGTCTTATTATATCAATACATCACAGTCAAGAAAAAATATACCTATATTAAACTAGCGAAAAACAAAAACAAATCTATCCCTCGGGAACCGTATATTTTTCCGGGATAAAAAGTAGCATAGGTATGTGCTATTACAGACTATAATCTATCTCTGTGCCAAATTTCATCCAGATTTGTTCAGACGTTCTGGCGTAAAAGAGTAACAAACATCCATACATACTCACAAACTTTCACGTTTATAATATTTATTATACAGATTAGCCTTTGGCCGCGACCTCGCCCGCGGTAAACGATAACTCGCCAATTTTCACAACGATTAGTTGGACGGAAAACCTCTATCATTCTATATACATATTTATAGCCTTACGTATCAAAATAGGGCAATCCAGAGAGTTGCGAGGGTGAGTCGCTAGTAGGCTATTTAATACAAAATGAATTTTCGAAATCTGACTGGTAGCTCCAGAGATCGTACCCCAAAAACTAACTTTACAAATTATAATAAAAATGCTTTTGCTTTATATTATTTACTAGCGTTTTCCTGCGGCTTCGCCCGCATAGTACCTACGTTAATCATCAACATATCATATACTAAAACCTTCTCCGAAACACGCTGCATCTTATGGTATGAGTATTATTCCGATCGGTTCAGTAGTTATCGCAGTATAACCGAACACAAAAACCGGCTCTCCATTTATTAGTATAGATGAGATTAAATTTTTCAGCTAATATAATTTTACGGCGGATTTATATCGAGAATTAATATCTATTATGTATTTTTTAAAGAGCTGTGAATATAAAATATACAAAGCAATGTTGCAACGCTAGATTTATTTCAACCTTGTATTATATTATTTTAAATATACGCATAATAGGAGTCGCATTTAAATTGTAACAACAAGTGTTTCCCACAATGTCTGAGAGTCAGTATGAAAAATGTTAAATTTAATATGAATCTCGCAATACCACATCTGTTCCGGGTCGTTAGTTATCTGTACCAATGATGCTTTGTTTCGATGAGGTTATCTTTATTGGAACAATGGGCGCATTTATACCTGCCTGCCATTATTTCACACATGGTACACCACTTTGATTATCGTCTCGCTTTGTGATAATCCACTTACTACGCAGGTGGTCTGAAGTTCGATTTTAATATTTAAAATATACTTAATAAGCTTCTCTCGAGCGTGTTTTTGAATGACGTTTGCATCAAACGAGTAAATGTCTTACTCTTGTAAAGTGTCAGTATCGATAAGATTAAATTTGATGAACAAGTCGTAGGAACACTCTGTATACTAAGCAAAGCTGGTGTATACAGTATCTTTATTAGCGCAAGTATGTTAGTGCAAGTGTGAACGCTCTCATTTGTCAAGACAGTTGTCAATCTTCCGGATATTACCTATATGATATATTATAATGAAATAATATTAGTCCCGCTGAGTTTCTTTCGCCAGTTCTTCTCAGGTCTGAGGCATCTTCTTTACGAACTGGTAGTAGATTCATGACGTTCAGTAAAAAATTGTAATAATTTAATGCTGAATAAAATATTTTGAATTTTGAATTTTGATATGCTTGATAAGGAATCGTGAAAATATCGATAAAATTACTCTGATCATTTTCACACTTCCATTTTAGATTATAGAATTAAAAATATATAGAATAAAACTGTCTTTTCGGATTTTTTCGCATTGTCTTCATTTTTAGTTCCCGACGTTTCGAATGCTTTTTAGAGCAATCACGGGATAGACTGAAAGATAATTTTATTTAAAATGTGAAATATTCGCGTAAATCTTTATAATATGATATTTAATCAAAGGCTGCCTCTTATTTGAAATTAAGTATTTTCCTTTAAAACACTTTGTATGACGTTTCTAAGAAAAACTGTACAAAAAAAAATAACAGTTCAAACTAACGCAAATCACCACGTAGCGTTAAGTAGTGCAATGTGCTGACCACCTAGGAATCATGTGCTAAGAAAGTTTTGTAATATCATGGGGTTAATGAGTATTAGAGTCTTATATTTGACATTGCCCGTAATTAGTTCAAACATCAGCTGATACTATAAGCAAAAGAATAGAAATTATAAGTGAAAGTGTTTTAGTTGATTTGTTTTCTCTCATAGAGCTATAGAACATTTATTTAATACAATTTGTTTTAAGTCGCACGGGATATAATTATATACATATCTTAATTAAAACTTGCTAAGGTCACGAGGTAGTTAAAGTGAGTGCGAAACAAAAGCGGACCGCTAGTAAAATATAACTAGCGTTGCCCGCGGCTTTACTCGAGTAGTCGATTTATATGTAACCAGAATATCTCATCTTTATGTCTCTAGCAGCAATACATATGGCTTTCATATAAACTTACGATAAAATATAGATCTTTATACTGCCCATGGTCATTCATGGTCATGGCCCATTCACCAAATTTATTGGTGTCATAATTTAGCTTCATAGATCGCGTAGTTTTTGAGTTTCTTCTGAGTGAATTTTTGAGTGTTTTTTCGCTTTTAAATATACAGAATTACTTTTTTTTAATATCATAAGTTTACTCATAGCATATATCTCTATAAAGATTAAACAATAACAAAAATAGAAATCAGGATATTACTCAGTTCATCAATCTGTCACTGGCAAGTGGCAATTATGTCACACCGCAAAACATGTCATTTTATGTGTGTTATCGCTCGCGAGGAGTCTTATGTTAGGTTACGTGACATCGGACATTCATATTAATATTATAAATGTGAAAGGGTTTGTCTGTTTGTTTGTTTGTTTATTCTTATTTAACGTCGAAACAGCGTGACCGATTAGCGTGATTTTTATTACATTTTGCCGCGGGAGATTCTCATTCCCAAGGGAAAATACGTTAGGTATAAAACAAAAAAAACATATTTTTGATCACAATGACTTGAAACTTGGTATTAATGCTCTACAATACAATTAAATAAATATGTGTTTTAGCATTTTTCGAACTTCATCCCATAAAAAGGTAAAATAGGGGATAAAAGTTTGTATGAAACCTACCTTTTTAGTTTTTTTTAGTTTAAGCGCGAGCGAAGCCGAGGGTTCGGCTAGTTATGAATAAGTTATTTTTTAGCTAAAAAGATACACTGGATTCAATAAATCGTTTTAAAATTAAATTTATCTTTAGGGGTGGAATGATTTCTCTACCTTTTT